TTAGTGAAGGAAAGTAATTACTCACACATCCACTGTATTAGATGGAAAGATTAGAATTCATTTTCCAAAAACGATTAGCATTTTGCCAATTAAAAGAATTTCTTCTCCCTGCCAGCAGCCCAGTGACCTCGCTCACCCAAAGATCATTTAAATGAAACATATTTAGCATCAGAAACTAGAGCAGGAAGAATAAAAGAATAAGGCTGTTTTTATTAGTGCGGTTCTCCGGTTCTCTGAGTTCACAACATCTCGCTCTGTTTGCACAGCCATTCGCTTCTGTCCATTTAGATAACGCTCCCGGCCGCTTCGTTACCCCACAGCAATGAAAAAGGGAAAAGACCAGTGGAATATGAGGCCACAAGGGAACAGTGGGAGAGTCGAGGTGCATGACCAATAGTTGAACTAGTGTGGGGACTCGGTGGCTGGCCCCATCCTAAGCACCAGCTGAGAACAGGCTCTGCTGGTGCTGCCTGCAGGAGCTCCCTAATGCATAAAGTTGTCTCTCTTGGCCCCACTACTGACTTCTACTAAGGACTGGGTGCCACCTTGGTGCCTCAGCTCAACTTACAAGTCTTGGGCAATACGGTCCGACTACTCTCCAGCACCGTGACCTACCTCCTGTCCATCTCCATCAGATCCTCCATCTACCAGCCACTTGGAAATGATCATTTCTTAACTATCCCATGTTCTTTTATACCCAGTTCCTTCTAACCTGCTACTTACCTTGTCAGCAAATCTTCTGCCTGTTGTGTTCGAGCACCCATGCTCACGCTTAGCCCAGGGTAAATGTTACTTGGCACTGAAAAGCATAGCTACCTCCTCCATTTGTACTGTCAGATCCCACACTGCATCTTGCATTTTTGCATCCTATTATATTAAACATAATTATAGTGAGCTACTGAGGCAGGAACAAGGATCTTACTCTGCTCAGCATTTCTAGCCCGTTGTACATGGTAGGTGGTATATATACATTTGTCAAATGTCTTAGTGAATTGTAGGCATAGATCTTCCCTTCCCAACCCCTTCACCAGCCTCATCAAATCTCAGCCTAGGAAGACCCCCCTGGTCAGATCAGCGAACATCACAGAGGAAGGAATGGGAACATTTGCCTACAGGTGGGCATTCTCTCTTCACCTGTGCGCCTCACCCAGCACCACTCCAAAGGGAGCAGCCCTTGCTGAGTCATCTCTGGGCTCTAATTGGTTCAGCCAGTAGGAAACCCTGGCACATCAGGGAAGAAAGGGAGATCAAGGTATTTCTTTCCCACTTCCTCCCTGCTTTGATTTTACACCTCTGATGTCAGCCACACAGAACAGGATGGAGAAAATAGAAAAAGGATCTAAAAGAGGACATGTTGAAAGTAACTCGCCCAGAGATCGTTTCTGAGATGGCAATTTCAGAACGTTTGTCATCATGGGTGAGCTTTGGGACAAGAGGCCCAGGTCAAGTGCAATGTTGGGGTCTTCAGATCCTCACGTTGGCCTGTTCTTAGCCCAGAGTACTGCCCAGGCATGAAGATCAATTGACCAGGATAGACAAAAATAGACATGGACTGAGGCAGAAGGCCACCAAGTCTTTACCCAAAAGCACATCTAAATGGAAATGCAATTTCAATGTAATACTTGATGTGGTTTTAAAGCTGTTTGCCAGGCATTATTTCATCTGATTCCCTAATAACCCTTTGAGATAAATATTTTGCTGATGGGGAAACTGACTTAATCAAGACTGCTGGACAAGTAAACTGTGAAACAAGCCAGTCTGCGGACATCAGGGCTGTGATCTCCCAGTCTATGACCTGTAGCACCTTGACCTGTCTGGGCTCTGTTCCCAGCTGCACTCCTTATTTGCTGTGTGACTGCCCTTGGTCATGTGACTCACCCTCTCTGTATATCAGTTTCTTCATCAATAAGACAAGTACAATATGTTTCTTTTGTGATTGGTGTAAAGAATGAGAGAGAGGGGCCTCTCAGAGGCTGAGAGAACGGACTACATCTGGGCTTTCCATGAGAAGCCAAGACCAGATCCTCTTCAGCCCAGCAAAAGAGGTTGACCTTCTGCAGGGCCTGAGGCTGGTGGAAAGACCAGGGAGGGTTCCTCACACCTGGCCGGTGGGGGGTGAGCCCTGGGCTTGTACAATCCCAGTGACTAGGAGGAACCTTCCCACCCCCACCCTCACCCACTGACTAAATGATACATGCCACCAGCAGGCAGGTGGTAAGTAAGCCAGATTTTTATTTATTTTTATCGTTTTATTCTTTTATTACAGTTGGCATTCAACACTATTTGTATTAGTTTCAGATGTACAGCACAGTAGATAGTCATTCGTCTAGGTCAGAGATTCCAAGCCCCCGTGCCAAAAGAATTTTTAAAACACATGACACCTGACCATTTAGTCAGGATCATGACCTTTTTCCCTTAGATTGTCAAATTTAAAAAATGACAACAACCAACACAACAATAGCAATCTGTTGTGAATGAATCAAAATTATATCTATTTTTTAATCAGACTGGCAAAATATATATTTTTTGATGTGCCACAGAACTTTAGTAATTAGTTTATGTGCGCCCGAGATCGAGAAGGTTGAAAATCGCTGGTGTAGGTCACAGACGGTTCCTTCTGATCGTTCAAGCACCCACCCGGCTCCACAGGTAGTTATTTCAATATTCCTAACTATATTCCCCACACCTGTTTTGTAACCATGTAGAAGTACCATTTAGTCCTTAATCCCATCACCCTATTTTACCCAGCCCCCAACACCCCTCCCTTCTAGTAGTCATCAGTTTTTCTCTGTATCTACGAGTCTGTTTGGATTTTGTTCTCTGGATTCTACGTATAAATGATACCATGCAGGATTTGTCTTTCTCTGTCTGGCAGAACTAAGCTAGATTTCATTTTATTTTTTCTAAAGAAGGAAATTGATGTTTTCTGCAAAAGTTAAATGAAATAATTACACAAAAAATGCCTACCTTCCATAGTGCCTTACACTTAGTAAGTGCTACATACTTGTTTCTTCCCTATACTTAACACCAACGGGTAAGTGTTAGCAGGACCCTGGGCCACAGCCTGCTCCTTCGTGGGCCTGGTGGGTGGGCAGCGTGGGTGGCAGCAGACTGCCCAGCGGCTGCCTCCAGGGACGGGGGGAGCTGCCGTAGCTCACTCTGGGTCTGTGGCGGTCCCAAGGGGACTCGGAAACTGGCAGCTGGGCGAACAGCTTGAGAGCAGAGCTAGTCTGGTCCCCACTGGCCTGCAGGTCACCTCCATCACAGGGTGGCCTTCCCAGCACACTGTGTGTGTGTGTGTGTGTGTGTGTGTGTGTGTGTGTGTCCGCTGCACACCCTAATGAAAGGGAAGGTAGCCAGGCCTCAGCTGGTAGCCACACTGAGCCCAGGAGACAGAAACTCGGGCAGTAGTGGTGGTGAGTGGGAAAGAGACCTATGCCCTCTAGCCGTCAGCCTCTATGCACTAAAGCCAGGCGAGGAGGCCAGTGCCCAAAGGCACCTGAAGTCCAGAAAGGGCTTGGAGAGCTGGGACAGAGCAACAGTCTCCCTGAGGACAGCCCAGAGAGAAGCTGCCATGTGACGGCCTCCTGCCAGGAGCACCCACAGAGCGGCCACCTCCGTGAACAGCCTAGATCCTGCAGGCTAATTTTTTTAAAAAAGAACTTGAGGAATGGAGGAGGGAGCCGGAGGGGCGGATAACGGTGGAGGGGCTGCTGCTGTGCCCAGAGTTAGGAGGTGTGAAAACGAATCCCGGTCTTTCAGTTATCGTGTAACCTCAGGCACATTACTGTAGGGACCTGTTTCTTCATGAAAAATATGAATCACAGTCCTCCTGTCACAGGGAGGACCCTTGTGAAAACTGCAGTGAATCACATGCATACTGGTGCCTGTACTACCCACACCAAGAGACTTGGCACTGAGCGAGCCCGCGGCCGTACTCCCAGCACCTGCAGGGTGGGTCTGGCCATAGCAGGTGCTCAGCAACTTTACGGCTACCTGATCAGAAGGTGCTGTCACCGCTCCTGGTGTTGAAGGACATTTGTGGGGACACTGTCGTGAGGAACAAAAGGTTAGGACAGTCTCGGGGTGGAGGCAGCCTGGTGAGGACGCCCTGCAAAGGCCAGTGAGCCTGGAACAGAACAGAAATGTGCTCGGCGGGGCGAAGTCCCAGGAACCCCAGGTGAGGTTCCTCTCTGTGAACCTCAGCCCAGTTGCATATAACCAGCTCCGGGGGCCACCAGTTGCTTCAGCATCCAGGAAAGGGGCACCCAAAACAGCACAGTCCCCGACAGCACTGGAAGGACACATGGAAACTTACTGGACTTTGTTTTAAATATAAGGCAATGATAATATAGGGGGTCATCCACTGACCTCCAGTGCTTGCACAGAAACATCCACAGGGTCAAAAAAAGCAAAAACAAACTTTTTTGTTCTGTACAACTAATGACCATCATGGTGAAATTTTTTATTTGTTTGAGAATCTTATTAAAGAATCAGAAAGGCATGAATATTGCATTTCTTGGACTGAGTTTGCAGAATCTCAACCTCTCAAAGCATTCACCATGTTCCTCATTATTATTTTTAGACATTTTAAAAAATGTTTCATTCGATTTGGAAAATCTCTTCTTATAGGAGGAATCTTTTAAAGGAGCTTCTATTTTTTAATTGGGTAAATTTAGGTTCTATACTGAAATGAAATAACAGAAAGGACTTACAATGTTTCAGCATCTATAGTTGGCAAAACATTCAAAGAAATTATGTCTAAAAAGTATTTGTCAAAACAGATAACAAGTGTGGGCCAGGAGGCGGAGAAGCTGGAACCCTCTCACGATTCGATGGTGCTGCCACTTTGGAAATAGTCCAGCAGTTCTCAGTGTTAGAATAAAGTTGTCTCTGCCCGCACCAGAGAGTCTACTCCCAACACTCTGAACACCAGGGGAGTCCCAGCCAGGCTGGGAGACTGACTGCACCCCACTCACATTCTTCTCTTTGTCCTACAGTATGTGTCCAACTGTCGCACGGTCACTCAAAGCGCACCCGAGCAAGACAGCTGCCTCCATCACCACCTCGCCCACCACCGCCAGCACCACCGCTCCCACCGCCACCTTCGCCACCACGCCCACCCTCGGCTCCTCCACCACCAGGAGGCAGAGCTGCCTGCCCCTCAGGTGACCCCCTGCCTATGCCCCCTGTTCTCCTGTCAGTGGGAAGGCCACCTGGAGGTGGTGCTGTCCCACCTGCGGCAGATGCACAGGGTCGACATCCTCCAGGGAGCGGAGATGGTCTTCCTGGCCACGGACATGCACCTCCCTGCCCCGGCTGACTGGATCATCATGCACTCCTGCCTCGGCCACCACTTTCTGCTGGTGCTTAGGAAGCAGGAGAGGCATGAAGGGCACCCCCAGTTCTTTGCCACCATGATGCTGATTGGGACCCCCACCCAGGCCGACTGCTTCACCTACCGCCTGGAGCTCAACAGAAACCATCGGCGTCTCAAATGGGAGGCCACCCCCCGGTCCGTCCTCGAGTGTGTGGACTCCGTGATCACTGATGGGGACTGCCTCGTCCTCAACACCTCGCTGGCCCAGCTCTTCTCCGACAACGGCAACCTTGCCATCGGCATCGCTGTCACCGCCACGCAGGTCTGCCCCTCAGAGGTCGACCTGTGAACCCAGAGGCCCCCAGCGGCTCACACACGCCACCCCCACCGAGACCCCGCTGTGCCCTTCAGATCTCCAAATCCCAAGACTGCCCTCTCCTTTTATTCTTCTCCTTCCCTCCCCACCCTCTCCTTTCCTCCCTCTCTCCTTCCCTCCCTCCTTCCTTCCTTCCTTCCTTCCTTCCTTCCTTCCCTCCCTCCCTCCCTCCCTCCCTCTCCTCCTCCCTCCTCCTTCCCTCCCTCCCTCCCTCCCTCCCTCCCTCCCTCCCTCCCTCCCTCCTTCTTCCTTCCTTCCTTCCTTCCTTCCCTCCCTCCCTCCCTCCCTCCTTCCTTCCTTCCTTCCTTCCTTCCTTCCTTCCTTCCTTCCTTCCTTTCTTTTTTTGTCTCAGGTACTTAGTGGTATCTAGTATTTGTCTGCCTTGGGCATTACATTATGTAAACATCCTGTGATTCAAGATTTTGGTGTGATGTTTGTCCTGATTAGTGGGAATAGTTTTATAGAACATTTTTAATTAGATTCGATCAGAGTGGTTATTATTCACCACTCCTTCTTTATTCCCTTCTCCATGGTTTCCAAAATGAGCAAAAGCCACCAAGACCACAAAGCAGACTGTGAGGGTTGAAAAGAGACTTGGTGTCCAAACCACTTCTTCCTTCTCTTTCCAGTCTATTTCAGGGCGAGCTAATGGCAGCCTGAGAAAACAGCAGGCTGGGGAGGGAACTTGCCAGCTCAGAGACCTATTTCAGACCAAACAGACACAACCCCGGCACCTTCCCAGGACCCTTGGTCAGAGCTGTGCTGTCGGACGTGAGCAGGCGGAGTCTCCTCGGAGGCCGGGCCGCCGGGCTGGAGGCCGTCACACGGAGTCCTCTGGGCTGGCCCCCGGCTTGGGAAGGGGCAGATGTTGAACCCTGCTTGGCAGGTCGCCCTGGGCTTGCTCTCGGCTGTGCCGTCTTCTCCTGGTCTGGAACCAGAGTCCTCACGTTTTTGGTGCTTTCTTGAAAACCTCTTTGCCCTCCTTGGAGCAAGTAGTAAGAAATAATGAACAGGATGTGGGCAAGCGAAGCAGCTAAAAGAAAGCAAAGGATAAATGAATCTCCCACCTCCAGAAGGGTGTTCTCCTCAGAGTTTTATGATCGAGTTAAAACTCCTCAGCCCACTAGTATGGAGCACTGTTGCACCATGCAAAGAACCCACTGTGTTCTTGGTACCTTATACACCAGAAGCACGACTCACCATCAGACACAAGGACTTGGAGGCTGTGCCCGGACCCTCTGACCTGCAGGGCTGGCCCAGTCCCTCAGACACCCGGGAGGGTCCTCTTTCCTTTCCTCACTTTCTAAAGTGCTCTGAGGGCCCATCCGGCACACAGTTATCGCTGGTCAGTACGCACCGGGCACCCCGCTGCAGTGGGAATGACAATCCACGCTGCCCCTAGGTAGAGGCTTTCTCTTATGTGGTTGTCAGAACAATGTGTTGACATCTTGTGGAAACTTCTCATGTATTTGAAGAAAATAGTATATTTAGTCAACTGTGTCTCTTCTGTTCAAGGCTGAATATCTATAAGCCTTCCCAGGAGGCCCTCTTCTCTCTCCTTTTCGTCACTTTTGCTCTCCCCTCGGCCACTTTCCAGTCGCTAAGGAAGTATGGAGCCCAAGCCCCACGCAGTGCTCATTCGCCCCGAGCGGGCCTCGCGTCAGCAGCTGTCGCTCTGCTCCGTTCCCGCCCCTCGGCCTCCTTGGCTGGGCCCTGGCAGCCTCCAAGTGATACTCAGTTTCAGGCAGCTTGCCATGGCTGGTCATGAGCAATCCTTTCCCCGCCACAAGTAATCAACCCTGGAACACAACACCCTCTCCTTAATGACCAGGTAATCCTCTACCACCTGTGCTGCCGGCCCACACCCCAGCACCCAAAGGGTGGTGCCAATCAATAGGAGATTTAATGACGCAGCCCTCTCTAGTCACACGGTGGTTGCTGGGACCCTGGAGCTGAGGTTTCCTTCCTTAGAGCCGTAAGGGAGCCAATGAATATGTGTCACTGACTGAGGCGAACATCAGGTTGCAACCTTCTTTCTCTCAGCACAGTCAGAACATCCTACCAGGGCACCAGTGTCCCCCTCAAGCCACACGGATGGTCAGGTGAAGCTGGGCCCGTTGGTCAGCCCTGGGAGAGACGGGCTCCCCTGGCCCTTGCCTGGAACCTAAGCCCCTCCCAGGCTGCAAGTCTGTCCCCTCTGGAAGCCACAGGGCCTCCCCTGGTTTCTGGTGCTCATTAGCTTTGAGAGCATCTGGGTAGCATCACAGGTACCCAGATAAATAACCAAACAAAACCTCAACAAGAACATAACTCGTGTTCACAGAGCCTTGGGGTTCCTGCAAACATCACCTCTGCCTTCTTGTGCCAAGTTCCCTGAGCCGAACTGGGAATAACTTCACATTATTGTTCTTGCTCATGGATTGTATTATGAGTAAGTGATCCTAGATAGGAACTGATAGTTTTGGTTCCTAGAAACCCTTAGAATAAAGGGTAGAAATGCATTATTTTTGTCCATCTATGGTGCTGCAAGAAGGCTTTCTCTCCACACGCGAAGAATGGAAGAAAAAGGAGCCAACTGAAAACAAAGAACAGGAACAGAGATTGGTACCAACAATGCACGTTAAACATAAAGGGCTTTGTAGTCATAAAGGGCTCTCTCATTTGAATCTTTAAGTTAATCCTCATCAGCATCCTCAATATACTAAAAAAATGAAGGTTCAGAGACATGAAATGACCTTCCCAAAGTCACACATCAAGTGCTTGGGACCACGCCTAGAACCCGGTAAATCAATTGCAAGCTTGGTGTTCAGTAGGAAGACTGACCCCAAATAGTCAGCCATGTTCCCACCTCATCAGTGACTGGGCCTGAAGGTCAGCTGGGTCTTGGTCCTGGGATGCTTGGGGAAGCAGGGAGAGAGATTTGCTCTCAGAGGCATCTCAGCCTGAAGAACTAGTCATCCTGGAAGCAGGGTGTGGGGGAAGCTTGCGGGAGCTGTCGTGTGGGGTGTCAGTGCCCGCAGCCCCTCTCTGTGCCCCACTCCAGGCTCCTCATTCTTAGACCCCCGAGTCCATCCTGTGCAGAGCCCTGGGAACTGGCTGCCTCATTCTCATCCAGGCGCTGACTTAATGACTCACCCTCTAAGGAGTATTTGCATTTTCAAAGTAGGCCTAGGGTGCCCTGGCCGGCTTGGCCAAGTGGTTGGAGCGTTGGCCTGCAGACCGAGGGGTCATGGGTTTGATTTCTGGCCAAAGGCACGTACCTGGGTTGAAGGTTTTATCCCCAGGTGTGGGAGGCAACCAATCGATGTGTCTCTCTCACATTGACGTTTCTCTCTCTTCCTCTCTCCCTTCCACTCTGTCTAGAAAGCAATGGAAAAATACCCTCGGGTGAGGATAAAAAAATAAAATAAAAATAAAAGTAGGTCTAGGGAGACAGCAGCACTTAACAGCAAGAAGTAACTACCAGTATTTGAACTTTAGGCATCTGTGAGGACAATTTTTTTAGAAGGTGTGGAAAGAACATTTCTGCCCCTGGAGCTGACCCTACATAAATGGTTGTCAGAAACGAAGGTCAGGCCACACAAGGAAGATTGTGTTTAATAATCAGTCTCTGCATGATCTTGCATCTGAGATAAATCCCATCACTATCTGCAGCTACTGTGGACATTTTAGAAATAGATCAGGTTACTAATCATAATACTACTCATGTCTGTCATTTATTGGGAGTTTACTATGTGACCCAGTGGGCTAACTACTTAGAGTATATCATTATCTAATTTACTTCCTTTAAGAACCTTATGAAGGAAGTACATTGTACCCATGAGAAACTTAACCTAAGAGCACTTAGACATGTGTTTAAGATCACACAGCTAACAAATGGTAGAGCTAGGCCAGAAACTCAGCATGTCTAGCTCCATGGTCCAGGCTTCCGACCAATATCAACTATGTCATTTCAACAATTTCACGGACCCAAGGCTCAGAAGGATCAATTATGAAGTCTGAATGGCCTAGAGGCCTTTCCTACTTTAGTACCAAATGTGCCCTTTTATGTTTCCTGTTTCCCTCTTTTCCCAGCCCAAGACAGAGTGGTCTAGAGGTGGCTTGTATACCAGCTGTTAAATTTTAAAGAAATGTGCATGCCAAATGTTAAGCGCAGCCATTATTAAAAATTAAATTGTACAAATTTACAATTAAATAAGTTGTAAGACAAAGATAATACTCAAAACTTATCACTTCCTAATTATTTCACTACCTTCTTATTTTCTGTGCTCTAGAGACTATTTCCATCCATCATATCCATATGGTGAACATACTATATAATGATGTCCTACAGCACATCTCCCAACTCTACGCTTAGTGAAAAAGCTTGAAATTTACCATGATGGTAGTAGTAACACCATGGAATTGGCAAGTGCTATAAAATAGACTTTTCTTCTTTGAGTGCTAGTTGCTTAACAGTAACCAGTACACCACTGCCTAGACAGCTCTAATGTCCATTTTATCTCATTTAATTCTCTTAACAACCTTATGGAGCAAGTACATTGTTGTACCCACAAGAACATTTAAAGAGGGAACTTTAGATGAGGAAGCAAGATCCTGGTGGCCACACTGACGGGCACAGCTGAGAGCCAAGCCAGCAAAACAGCACATTGTTGGGAAAATACAAACTCTTCTGGAGAAGAGAATCTGAGGCTTTTAAGCTGCTTCAAGAATATTCCCTGCCCTACTCAGACCCTTCTCTATTGTTAGTGTGAGAAGTTTTACCTGATGATTTTCATAGAAAAGTTATGCTTATTGGCCATCCCAGTCCAGAAAGTAAAACCAAGCTCTGCAACACTGGTATTGCCTGTTACATGTTCTTATAAGTCATCTTTCTTATCTCTACATGGAGACCAAAACTCAATCTACAGAAGTATTTAGTTCACAGTCCATAGCCTACCCAGAGCAGTACTCTTTCTACATTGAGGACACGG